GTGTGTGTGTGTGTGTCTGTGTCTTTTAAGACACAATTTTACAAGTTTCAGCCATCGTCTCTTCAGGATTCTTCAAGCATTGTGAGGATTGAGGATATATGAGGATGACGGTAGAGTGACCCCAAGATATATGTTTTAAAAGCAACAACATATTTATTGAACAAAAAACATAAACATAACAACACCATAGTCCGATGTAGTGTTGGACATCCCAAACTGTCCAACAAAACTGATCATGCATGCAGTCACACTGAGGCACACACCGGTGCGCAACCAGTGGCGATGATCAGCTTGTTGTACCTGCAGCTGCGTCCGACCTGTGGAACTGTCGGACACGCACCGTCGTCGGACGCGTCTGGGCAGGCGAAGCACGGCAGACGTGGACACGCACGGCCAAGCACGTGTGTGTCCAGGACACGCACGGCAAGGCCATTAGGACATAGGAGCATTTCAAGGGACACCCAATGCCGGAAGCCCGAGAAGGTCTAGTCTAAGACTACAGTGAGTAGATGGCACTGGCACCCCATGATGTGACAGATGGGGGCAGTATATAAACCACCGAGCTTGGGGTCTGTGCTATCTACTCTCAGACCACTATGCCTAGGAATCCAAGTACCTTCTTAGAAGGTACTTGGACCCTCCAAACCTATGTCTCCTTCTCAAGGGGTATGGGGATCCGTAGCTCATGGGGCCCAGGTTTGATGTACCCAGAAGAAACGCCAATGGTCGCGGGGTCTAGTACGTCGCGGTGACTCCTGCCACATGAGTGTAAAATTCGAGGGAGGCCTTCACTCGGGTAGTAGACTGGTCTATGTCCCCTCGGACCCCAAAGGGTCCATCGCCCTACTCGGACGGTCGATCCATAGACCCTGCCCCGGTCTCCCGGTACTTGTAACCCATCCACTCGTAGGCTCGGTACGTGTGTCAGATGTGACGATCGATTCGTTGTGTTTAAAATATATCCGCCAAAGAAAGATCAACATATTCATCATGTACGTACTTGCTGTATCCTCTGCAGTTATAGAAAACACCTGACAGTTTTAGAAGACACGTGAGACTGGACTCACCACCATGCCTTCTGCAAACACAATTCCTAGAGTTTATAGTGTATATATATATTAATGTGTATTATTCAAGAACCTAAGTTGTGAAAACACCAATAATGTGAACACTTGGATCATCCATGGTCCAGGCAACACGGTTTTGGACTCTTCTGCCGTCGGTGCACTTGGGTGGGGGCTTCCATCCTCATGTGAACTATAGTCGCTCCAAAATGGGCCAACGGATGGACACCGATGGAAACCGGCCAACGGTGCAAATCATCAGAAGCCTGTATTCGACCTTGGTGGCCCAGTCCTGACCTTCGCTCATTCTCGGAAGCATGAAGATCAGGGTGGCTGGACACGTGTCCCAAGGTCAAGTTCCGTCCACGATCGCACTGAAATGGCATGTGCGCGGTAGTGCGCGAGGAACCCCAGGAGCGAGCAGGGCATAGCAGGGCACTGCACCGTGTCCTCTCCGAGTTTCACCAACTTCTTTTCCAAGTCAAGACCTTGGCCCAAGTGGAGAGAGTTTTCAACAGGTGCGGCCTTCGGCGGGCACGAATGGCAGACAGGATGCCTTTGAGAATAAAGCACGTGCCAAAACGATCCAAAACGTGTGGATCTCAGTGGATCTTTCAAGCAGCCAAAGTCTTGAGTAGAAGACTGTCATCTGGCCACGTGTGGGCCATGGAATACTCATCCGGTAGCTGGGTGGCACCGATGAGCCGCTGAGCTTATCTGAGCTAAATAGTGCCCCCTCGAGTAGGTATAAGCAACAGCATATATATACATAATATGATATATGGCATATGTCAAAGCAACAATTACTCTGAAAGTTTGGAATGCCACATTCTAAGAATCTATCTCTTTGACAGTAACTCTCTATGTGGCGGGATTTGTGGAAGCCTCTCAGCCAACCCATGATGTTGGCCGGTGTTCCACTAAGATCACCAGGAGAGCAATTCAATCATCCGCTGTACCAGCGGAAATTCAGGAAACTAGTATGGCCAAATTGGTCTAAATGCAGTTGTTTTGGTAAGTTCTCAGGATTGGAAAACATCCATTGGAGACAATTGCTGCATGCAAACAAGTCTACCAAAATGATTTCAGTGTCACGACCTGCGGACGTTTCAATCCAAGGAGCTCTGGGCCTTTCCTTGAATGAAGCTGATGCCTGATATCCAGCTTCGAACTCGATCCAAGAATCTAGGGCGCATGGTGTTCATACATGCTTGACAACCAAACAAAATCATGGAGAACATGTTATTTCGGATATTTTCAGTATAAAATATGTTGGGTCAATGCTCCGAACCCTTTTGGTTGCGAGACGTGTCGAATTGTGATTGCAGAGACGTGAAGAGACATGAAGAAGTGGTCTCTGCGAAGGCTCCCAGAAAAATGTGAGATTTTGCAGATTGGAGACTGCCTTGATTAGGCAACAGTTCACTCAAATATAGATATAACCACCAACAGTTCACTCAGAGAGGCCGTTGAAAACGGTCGCAACGGTCGCGCTACAGGCTCAAACCGAAGGTCTCCGCGTCGGTGGACGGCACCGGTGGACGGCTCCCCGCTCGGGCCTTTCTCGGCGTACCAATCCGGTGTCTGTCGCTCACCGCCGGTGCCCACACAGGTGTGGAAGCCAGGCAAGCGCGCACGGACCTGTGGATGGAGCTTCCAATCATGAGTGAAGATGGAGTGTTTGTTTGATCATTTTTTAGCTTGTGTGTTTTGGGGTCGAAAATGTTTGCCAAAAAACATATTGCAAACATATATTATATAGAGATATATAGAGATCTCCCTGATTTCCTCGTCCCACTCACAAAACCAAAATAACTGAACCCTAAGCTGACAAGGCCAAGTGCAAAGGTTGGTCTTCGACTTCGCAACTTCAATCTTGAACTTCTGCTCCTGGATCACATTTTGTATACATGCAGGACCTATGTAATTTCTTCTATGTACCAAATACATACATAGTTGCACGCGACTCTTTTGCGCACCCGGATCCGCCCTCATTCAGGCGCCCCACAGACGCACATGCAGAAGCTCAACCTAAGACGGCCTGCTTGGCCACCGAAGGAGCAGCTTGTGACTGGAGCTTTTTTGCGCAATTCCAGTCCAAGCAATGAGCAAAGGCATGACAACCCGGAATCACCCAAAGGACCTTTTCTGTCCCCGAACAATCCATCTATCTCTCTCTCTATATATATATATGTAATAATATGAGGAAAAATGTACCTACATTAGGGTGGCTGTAAGATGCATGTTTTAAAGGTCCAATGTAGGTAAATGGCTTGTTGGGGGTCCAAAGCATGATTCAAATTCACCCTGGGATATCGCTGTTGAAGAAATGTGAGTCTTTCAATAACTTCATTATACTGTCTTCACTTAGGTTTTTGATCTGTCTTGCTTCCACCCAAGGAACCCCTCAGGTGGTTCACCTCCCAATTCCCAGGTGGTGACCTGTACACTTTGGCATGTTTCAGGGAGAGGAAGATTTGAACCCAGAAAAGAAGTGAACAGTTGAACCTATTTGAACCTACGTCTTCCCCAAAAGCTACAGCTCGCTTGTCATGCCCAACAAAATCCTGCGAGAAAACCAGGTATTCCACGGTCCAAAGAGGTAGGGTGTTTTCTTTTTCAGATTTAGAGTTGCCCAAATTCATTCACCAGAAAAAAACACCCCACTCTCTAAGCTCGTGTTGAAAACTAAGCAAGGAAGCACGAATGCTTTTTGCCAAGTCCGTTTCGTTCGGGTCAACTTTGGACCTGTTTCAACCGTCGGGGCCCCATCAGAAGCCTTCCAGCAAAGTTGAACGGTTCAGCTGAACATCAGAGGTCGGCTGTCTTGGGCAAAAGATCATGGAACATGGAGCAACAGGTTATCACCGTTGTCACCAGTTCCAACAACAAATAGAGGGTAGTCCAAGCAGTCTATGGCAGTCTCATGCATATAGTATCCATATGTGTCAATTCAGTTCTGACACGCTTTAGACGCCCAAGCCTTGATTACAAAAGATACAAAAGCAACAACACATCCCAGCACCCTCCAACAGGTCTCCTCTAAAGGGTTGTTGGGCCCTAACAGGTCTCAATTGGTGACCTGTTGGAGGGTGCTGGTCTATATACATATACAGTATATATATATACCTCTCCTTTTATCCATCGTCAGATCGCGAACTTCATGAGAATCCCGGAAGTCGCCATGTCATCTCCTTCACCTTCGAGCAACTCCTCCAACCGATCCGCTTTGCGACAAGACCCCGGCCCCAAAAACGCACCGCACGGCCACCGTCACGGCCGGCACGCACCACCGCCACAGGCACCTCACACTCGAGACCAGGAGGACATCGAGAGATCAAGGTGAATTTCCAAGAATCCACCCAAGAGTGCACTGCAAAAGCTGCCTGAGTGGCCATCGATTACGTGGCGACTTCGGCAGGCGGCCAGGTGGCTGGGCATGCAACAATTCGCTGGTGGGTTGCTTGGGGACTTGGTAAGTCAGCGAAAGGGGTGGCTTTGGCTATCGGGACGGAGTTAGTACTTGCTTTCCATGCGCTGAAACCATGCGAATTCGTGCACAGAAATTCAGAACTTAGGCGTTGAATTTCGAGTGATCCGGTTCTTACCGCAACCCTCGTCTGGGTGATGCCTCAGCTGGATTTTTGTTCAACGTCGAAACAACATGGAAACAACCTGAAAACAATTGAGTCCGAGTTCTGACCCTCCCGACACCGCCCACAACGATCTGTCACCGCCCCACCGGCTCAAACCGCCCGCAGGAAAACCCGCTCTGTCGGGGTCTGGCAGTGGATCTCCCGGTCATCGATCCGCGGAGGTCTCGGAGGGGAGAGACCAAAGCAACACCAAAGCAACACCAGGACCCGACTCTACAGGTCACCAATTGACCTCTTAGGGCCCAACCCTGAACATCCTGACCTGTCAGAGGGTAAGGTACGAACATCCATTGGCAGGGACCCCACATATAGCATGACTTCTTTGAAAGACCCTGGCTGTGGCTCTCAATGTCTATAGA